CTGACTCTCAACAAGTCGACCCTCAACAAGCCGTCCTCCACCAGCATACCCTCCGCAGCAGCAACAACAAGAGTGAGTTGATTTAGAAGAGGTTGCTTGTTATTTAGACATTGTTGGACAATCGAAATGAGAGATTATTTTACACCCTCTACACTAAATGTAAAGATAATGAAGCTTCCTTCCCTATGTCGAATATCCTTAAATAATCCCAGCATACTGAGAGGGTGATCCCATTTTTTTAACCCCATATTTTTCAGATTACACCACTGGAAATCAGAAGATGGTAAACCATAATCCCATACCACACCTAATTTTTTCAACCCCCATACTTGCCAGCTTTTAACGCTGGAAGTCAGAAGATGGTAAACAGCAGCTGTTCTCAGTTAGCTCTCAAACGCTGCTGCAGCTGTTCTCAGTTAGCTCTCAAACGCTGCTGCAGCTGTTCTCAGTTAGCCCTCAAACGCATCTCTATCCACTCGTTCTTTATTTGCTAAACCAACGCTAAAGAAAAATGAAAAAATTTAACACTGAAGTCAAAATTGTACCGGAAATCAATTTTTTTTCTCTTACAGTCTCTAAGCGGAATACCTTTGAATGGTTCGATAGGAAATGGTTCGATTGGTAAATCCTATGACAAGAATTCATTTGGCAGGTACAACAACCTTAACTGGATAACAAATTTAAAGAAAATGTTTTTTCCAAAGTTTCGCTTAACCCAAACACTTAGACATCCAATAAGAACCACTACACTAGCCGTTCCCAAACAGCTACACTAGTCGTTCCCAAACCTCTAAACTAGTCGTTCCCAAACCGCTACACTAGTCGTTCCCAAACCTCTACACTAGTCGTTACCAAACCGTTTCACTAGTCGTTCTCAAACCTCTACACTAGTCGTTCATAAACCGCTAAACTAGTCGTTCCCATTTACCTACACTTGTCGTTCCCAAATCGCTACACTAGTCGTTCCCAAACCGCTTCACTAGTCGTTCCAAACAGCTACACTAGTCGTTCACAAACCGCTTTACTAGTCGTTCCCAAACCGCTACACTAGTCGTTCCCAAACCTCTACACTAGCCGTTCCCAAACCGCTACACTAGTCGTTCCTAAACCGCTACACTTTTCGTTCCCAAATCGCTACACTAGTCGTTCCCAAACCTGTATACTAGTCGTTCCCAAAGAGCTTCACTAGTCATTCCCAAACAGCTACACTAGTCGTTCCCAAACCTCTACACTAGTCATTTTCAAACCACTTCATTAGTCGTTCCCAAACCACTACACTAGTCGTTCCAAATCACTTCACTAGTCGTTCCCAAACCGCTACACTAGTCGTTTCAAACCCCATTATTAGTCGTTCCCAAACCACTACACTAGTCGTTCCCAAACCGCTACACTAGTCGCTCCCAAACAGCTACACTAGTCGAGCATACAAGTTGTCCATGGTATTGCTTTGGAATATCAGGCACATGAAGCCGAAAAGTATGAGACACATCGCCAGGGAGCACAGCGCCCCGGCCATCATCGTGAAGTCGATTTTAGTCTGATGGAGTAAAGGGGTATAGTAATACGGCAAATAGAAAGTAATTCCAATGGAATCATCTTAATAACTATAAGCCGACCATCAACAAGCCGACTCTCAACCAGCCGACCCTCAACCAGCCGACCCCCAAAAATCTGACTCTCAACAAGTCGACCCTAAACAAGCCGAACCTCAACAAGCCGACCTCCAATAAGCCGATCCTCCACCAGCCTACCCTCCGCAGCAGCAACAGCAACAAGAGTGAGTTGATTTTGAAGAGGTTGCTTGTTATTTGGACATTTTTGGACAATCGAAATGAGTGAGTGTTTTACACCCTCTACCCTAAATGCAAAGATTCTGGAGCTTCCTTCCCTACGTCGAATATCCCTAGATAATCTCAGAATACTGAGAGGGTGAATTCATTTTTTAACCCCATATTTCCCATATTTCACCACTGGAGGTCAGAAGATGGTAAATCATAATCCCATACCACACCTAATTTTTTCAACCCTCATACTTGCCAGCTTTTAACGCTTGAAGTTAAATGATTGTAAACCATAATCCCATACCACACCTAGTTGTTCAACCCAACATTTGCCAGCTTTCAACGCTAGAAGTCAGAAAAAGGTAAACCATAATCCCAGACCACACCTATTTTTCCAACCCAATATTTGCCAGCTTTCAACGCTGGAAGTCAGAAGACGGTAAACCGGACTCCAATACCACACAGAATCTCTTCACTAATCTCTAACAGACACAGGTATTGAGCCCTAAATTAATTACCACCTAGAAGAAGCACCCTTCATCATACCTGGAAGGCGAAGGCGGTGAGCCCAAGGAAGATGATGACGGTGACGACAACGGCCTTAAGGACGGCGTCAGCATCATAACAAGCGCACGCGGCTCCCAGCATTACGCCCTCGCAGGCCGTGAAGAGCAGCAAAACTATTATGTTTATTGGGGACTTGCGACGCATCTTCGTCGAGAGAGCCAGTGCGATCATCAGCACGATGTAGGCAACCGCTGGGAGATTGATAGATTTCATGAGAATTGAAGGAATATGTTTCGTAGTTATTTCACGAACAGCCCCAATACGTTGAAGTGCACCTCAAGTTATTCACTGAACTCACTTTTCCACTCTAACTGACTTAAGTAACAAAATTGCATATGGAAGTCAAAATCTGACAGTTTATTGTTAAAAAAGGTGACATTTACCGGCGCCGATGAACAAGCCTGGATTATCTTGATTCCATTGCCTGAAGGAGTCAATGTAGAAGAGCCCAATGATGGCCCCCGTCAAGAACAACTGCACTGCCAAGATGCTGTATACCTTCCTGTGGGTGGTGGTGATTTGTTAAGGTAGATAGATGGTTTGGGGTGGAGTAGGGGAAGTAAATCGTCTAGTATAATATTTTAAATAGATGTAGATAGTTTGGTTTAAAGTAGGATGTAGGAGGTATTTTAATATTATGCAAAATGAATGTACGAGATGGATTAAAGATTTAAAGATGGATTAAAGTGAAGTAGGTGTGGAAGGTGTTCTGATTGCAAATGGAAAATTGGATGCAGATGCTGTGGGGTTGAGTTGGGGGGTGGATGAAAATGTAGGGTGGTGGTGAAATGGATGTAGATGTTGCGGGATCAGGTATGGTGATGATAGGTAATTTAGATAAGGTGGTTGGGCGGTGGTTTAACCTAATTCAGTATTCAGTAGCCAGCGCGGCGAGATGAAAAGTTGGGGAGTGTGAATGTGTGAGATGCCGACATGAAATATTAAGATGTTGTTCGCAAGGGACTGTGACACGTGTCATAAGATAACTGGTTGTAACTTACATAAATAAAAATGCTGTACGGTAAAACCTTTTACACATTTGGCAAGGTTTGTGTGTTTGAAGACTGACCACATAAATACATGGATGCTACTGTGCCATACCCATGTGTCGCATACCATAGAAATAGAAGAAAAGGGTTGAGGGAAAGGGAGACAAAGATTTAAGGGGACCGGCTACCCTAAAATTTTCAATTGTGGCGTTTTCCGGTTTTTGTGCTCGTCTTAAAGCTTACTTTCTGACGCATGTAACGGTACCAGAATCATCTTTCTACGTGCATTTTTACATACACAACACACCGTGGAACAGGGGGCGGTACTGGGCGGCCTTCAGTAATCCCTATGAGACTAATTCAAAGGCGGGACTATGTATACAGCCAGCTGTCGCCAAAGCAGTTTGTGCCCATCATGACAGCGAGGTGAGAGGTATGCAGCCAGTTACTCTATGCCTTCCTGACTTGGTTTGAGGCTTACTTAGGGTATGTTGGCTACGTTACGACTCTTTTACGTCATTTTACGTGCCGCCCGGCAGTTTTTTGGGCGTGGTGAAAACCTCCGATTGGTCTCACGGCAAACCTATCTCCTCCTACAATTTTCAAGCTACAGCAATGAAACACATACCATTCGACTCGCAAAGACCATACCTATCGATTGTCACATCATTTTTTTGAATTTCTGTCTGGTTCGTTTTTTATATGGGGGAGAAGGGTGGGGGATGATTGAAATGAGAAAAATGGAGAAAAACGCCATAAAAAAACTATGTGGAAAATGGAAAAAGTGATGTGGGAGTCGATAGGTATGGTTTTTACGAATCGAATGATACGTGTCTCGATGTTGTAGGATGATATTTGTAGGAGGAGATAGATTTTCTAAAGTTCCCCTCTTTAGCCGTTTTCTATGAATTTCACGTTTTCTATCAATTTTTTCGAAAAATTCAAAGAGGCAAAATGTTCTTATTTTTACATTTTACGTATGTATGTGAAGTTTCATGATGATCGGATGATAACTGTAAAAGTTTTTCCGGAGGTTAGCCGGTCCCCTTAAATGCAAAATTGAAACTGTTTTATACAACACTTCTCTTTAACTTAACTTCTTGTTGTTTGTTTGTCTGTCTGCTACAAATCTTATAATCGATATTTAACACACTTCTACCTGTCCAATCGATCTGAAATTTTCCGCACTTGCGTAAAGCTAGTCAGAGGCAATGCATGAATCAATTGTTAGAATAAATAAATTTGCAAAATTCAATTTTTTTGTAATTATATAAATAAAATTTAAAAATTAATTTTTGTAATATTTAATAATAAAATTAGAAATTCATTGTACATGTGTAACATCAGAGATACTGGATTCTTGAAAATTGTTGTCTTTAAAAAGTAATTTTTAAACGCATATTATTTTTAATTGGTATTTATGAGCTCATTTTAAGAGTCACAAAATAGTTTGTCAATATTTTGAAACGATAGAAAATATGAGTTCTATGCTCCATTTGACGTAAGTTTGTGCGGTTCCACGATTAGAATAACAAGCTTTATCACTGTTTACATCTATTACTTATCTATTACTTATCTATATTGCAAGGTCGGACTAAACTGCTTGCAACACGAAAATATATGTTTTTCAAAATGAACACATTAATATATTTAAATATCTTACCTAATGAATGCCCGCCGAATGGATTTGTCGGAGAAAAGCCAACCACTGTCTGTAATTACATAAAGTTTTGTAGTAAATTAGAATACTTTATAAATTAAATAAGCAAGTATTCATCTATATTTTCAAATTAGAATACATTCTACATTATATAAATATTCATCTATATTTTCAAAGAACTACCATCAAAACAGATATCTTTGTACTACGCACCTGGACTAACTTCGGTCGTCATCTCCTGCTGGGGCTGTTGTGGTGGGGGGGCCCTGAAGAACAAATGTGGGTAAGAAAGTGTGTCACTATATGGAAAATTTGACCCATACATTCCTTAGGTGTGTCACTATTGTGACACACCTAAGTAAGAAAGTGTGTCACTATTTGGACAATTTGACCCATTCATGCCTTAAGTGCAATTCGGCATATCAGCGTTCACCGGTCAGCTAACGAATTCGGCATCGCTAATTTGGTCAAGACCGGCTGTCGATAAGCACCTAATAAGCGCCGGATTAGCGCCTGATTAGCGCCTGATTGGCGCCTGATTGGCGCCTGATTAGCGCCGGATTAGCGCCTGATTGGCGCCGGATTGGCGCCTGATTAGCATCTGAATGCGTCAAAGAGTGATGATTGAGGTAGGGTATGTAATTCATAACAATTTAAATTATGAATATGGTGTAGCCTCTTTACAATCTACTCACTCTTGTTGTTGCTGCTGTTGATGGGAGGCTGGTTGAGGGTCGGCTTTTTGGGGGTAGTCTGGTTGAGGGTAGGCTTGTTGCGTGTAGGCTGGTGGGGGGTAGGCTGGTTGGAGGTCGGCATGTTGAGGTTCGGCTGGTTGAGGGTCGGCTTCTTCAAGGATAATCTGCTGGAAATAACCCTGCTGGGGGTCGCCAGGGTTACTTGTTGCGGGTTGAGACATTTTTTCCTGAAAAATGAGAGCGTTACATCACGTACAGAAGTAAAATAAATGCTATAAATGTATTCAATGTACTTTTTATAGAACCTGGACTTGTGAAACTCATGTCGAGGATCGCATGCTAAATTTCGAAACAACTTATAAATGGAAATAGTTTAGATCCAAATTTCTTTTAGTTTATTGAAAACCATATTAATTTTTTGGGGTAATTTAAGCTAAGGACAATAATGTTACCCCGAAAACACCGAAAACGTTTTTATCTCCTCCCTCGACGCAAGATTAAAGCGCGTGATATGTCAACTGTCACCTAGGACGACCAAATTGAGAAAAATAAGCGATCCCGAATTCTTTATCTGACCTAACTGAACTGTTCTCAAAAACCTTCTACTTTTTCGATCAATTTTTAGATAATATTCTCGCCATTTTTTCTTTGTTTTTTTCAAATTTGACCGAAGGACGCTGATATGCGACATACACATAAGAATGAGTGGATCAAATTGTCCAAATAATGACATGCTTTCTTGCCCACAGCACGAGCATAGAGCGAGCATATCTCTCATACGCTATTTTTTGTCGGGTCAAAGTGGGTCAGGGTGGCCCACTCATGGACAAAAGGTGGATCGCTATTTAGACAAAATCTCTCTCATTTCTATGAGAGTAGGATGACGTCATGGCATGACGTAATTACAATGACGTAAAGCGTTGGAAATGTCGTCAATTGCACGGAACTCACCATCGTCACTGCACTTACGACCACCGAGAACTTTTGGATACCAGAACTTACGACCACCGCAGAACTCTTGGATACCAGAACTTACGACCACCGCAGAACTCTTGACACCACTTACGACCACCGCACCACTTACGACCACCGCACACCACTTACGACCACCGCACACCACTTACGATCACCGCACACCACTTACGACCACCGCACACCACTTACGACCACCGCACCACTTACGACCTCCGCACCACTTACGACCAAAACCGCGCACCACCGCACCAATGCGTAAGTGGTGCACCGCACCACTTGCGATCACCGCACCACTTACGACCACCGCACCACTTACGACGACCGCACCACTTACGACCACCGCACCACCCACCGCACCACTTAATACCACCGCTCCACTTACGAACACCGCACCACTTACGACCACCGCACCAATTACGACCACCGCACACCACTTTACCCTTTACGCACTAATAGGCGCTTACTGGCTCTTTGGTCGAAAAATTCAAATTTAGAAAATTAAAATTTACTAAATCTAAATTAGATTAATTATAATATTAATATAATATAAATAATGCAAATAATATAATATAAATAATCTGATTAATATAAATAATAAATTAACTTAAGTTTATTTTGCGGTAAATTTCTTCATGCCGCATTAAGGTTCCCTCAAATATCAAGATATTTGATAACATCACCGTTCGGTAGTTAGGGATATACATGTATAATGAAAATCTCGTTCAAATCTGTTCAGTAGTTTGGAAGAAATTCCTTGATCACTGCAAATATCGGCCTGCATCGTCATATAACTCATAAATGAAAGCAAAATTCAAAAATTTTCGCGAGCTAAACATCACCATTAGGTATTAATGAAGAAGTGTACCTAGTTTCATCGAGTTAAGTTCATTAGTTTGGGAGATATTCCTTGATTAAAATTGGCCGTGGGACCGGCTGCGAGTCCGGCCGTAAATTTGTCCGAGACATAAACACAGGAGAGGTTAAAAAATGTAACTCAGTACTCACTGCAGTGAGTGACAGAGAGCGCATCTTCTCGTCGACGAAAACGTGAAGTCACAGACAGACGGACGGACGGACAGACGGACGGAGAGACGGACGGACATGACGAGCAGAATTGTGCATTTTTTCCATAAATGAGAAAATGCGCTAAAAACAGATCTGGGTGGGAAAACCCTTCGTTGGGAGTCATGTGCTGCACGTGTTGTGTAAAATTCGTCACATAAACGTTCGGACTTCTGACTTCGACTTTGGGCTACCGCCCCCTACCTCCCCTTTCTTCCTCACCGCACCCCCTGATCATTCCACCGTACCAGGAGGCGGTATCGCCCACTTTGGGAACCAGTGGTTTATATTGAAGATAGGTGGCATTTGTGTCATGGCAACTCGGGTCGTTACGCGAATTTAAATCATTCAACTTAAATCAATTACGAGTTTGAAATCATTTCGCTACAAGAAAATAATTTCTTCATAGACCTAAAGTGGCTACGAAAGCTCCAGTTCACGTTTCTAACCCCTTAGGGGTAAAAAAAATTAAGTTTAGACGAATTTTCTTTATTTTGATAACCGTCATTAATACAGAATCACTGAGCACAACGTCAACGTTTTGCGCAGACTTTGGTATTCTTTGGCGAGATGCCAACATTAAACCTAAAATGAATTATGGAATGACATCATTTCGTTGCAGAGAAGAGTTTCGTTCTATACATTAAGCATGCATTAAGGTCTCCATATATCTTTCATACCCTCTAGGGGTTCAAAAATATTAGCCAATTAGCAGGAATTGATTGCATGTCAAGTTACAGACTGATAACCGTTATCCATACAAAATCACTGAACACATGATGTAGTTAAGGACAGACTTTGGTATTCTATTTAAAGAAACTTTATTTGAGATAAAACATTTGCTAAATCTTATGGAATATCATCAAAATATATAATAAAAATAGTGTTGTGCATAAATGTTCCAGTAGAGCTACGAAATTACTAAAATTAATTTATAATATATTGCATTAAAATAGTAAAAGTGTCAGTCACTGTTCTATTGTAACCGAATATTATAATGATATTTTCGATCCTTTGCTGTTGAAATTCTGCTACATAATTCAATTCTAATTTAGGTAATGGATATAATGAAATTCATTATAAAGAATTAAACGGAAATTTATTTTCGAGCTCTTTTAATACTATGCAGATTTTTGCTACCGCATCATCAATAAATCTCTTTTTATAGATTGAAAGTTCTAGAAAAGTTTTCTGTTGAACTTGGAAATAAATTGTGCCTATTTCTGTTTAAAGTTTATTTTATTTTCTATCATTTATCTTATTGACTTGATATTAGCCGTGAATGATTTAACTACGTCTATGAACAACAATATTTTCTTTCTGCATATATTTTCTTCCGTCAGAAAACGAACCAGCTATACATTTTTAAGGGAAACTATATCATCTCATGTCTCCGTTACGACACAGCGACATTGAGTTCAAAATTAAGTGAACATATTACAGAATTCATTATTCAGAGACTTGTAAATGATGCAGGATTAAATATGATTGTGATTAACTTTATAATGATTGAAATACATGCCCGAATTATAATGATGAACGATTAAATATTCGCGTTTGCCTTTTGTCGGAGGTGTGTAGACTGTTTAAAACAAAAGAATTTAGTCCAAATTTCGGCCAAACTATTTCTTTTACAATTGTCTGTAATTGTTCATTCGTAAAAACGCTTTCGGATGCTGAATAAAAATTATAATAAATCGATACAAATTTCCATCATTAGGTCTTTTCCCTTTTCAGAAGGGCTAATGGGTAACATTTTACCCATTAGCCGTTATTTGTCCTTGATGACGCCTTTCAATTGTTATTCTCATAACTTAAATTAAAATTACGTAAATAATGTGCCAAACAGGACAGTAACGCTCTTAAATAAACATTATTTAGAAATCAAATAAGCATTATCAAAATAATGTCCTATAACATGATAGCAAAACACAGCACACCAGTTCACTATTTATTGAATAAGTGTCCTAAAATCAATCATAAGCCATCATAACAACAAATGATGGATGTAAAAAGCACATGTGCATAACATTCATAATTACATTTGTACACATTACATGCACTAGAAATAGTGAGAGGGAAGTACTCTAGCCGAAGCGATCTACACATTGTTGGAACTGAACATTAATTTATAATTCAAGTCACAATTAAATAATTATTGAAGCTTGCTACTAATGCTCTAGCTACTGATGCTACATTTGCTGTTGGAACAGTTGCTATTTACTACTGTTGCTGCTGTTGTTGTTGGTCAACAGCCAAGCTAGTAACAATTATTTGGCTGGGATTGATGACATACGACTGGCCTTGACCAACGTTAGTCAAGGCCACTTGGCTGGCGTTAGTCGAGAATATAAGTACAATCAATAGTGAAAACTGTTGCTAGTTACTTAATGTTTTAATATATTTCGTGTATATCTTAATTGTATTGTGAATATTCAAATTAAATTCACATTTTTAATAATAATTGTATTATTATAATTTTTTATAATACTTTTAAAATGCTACTCTCCGAAATGTTTTTTATTAAGATATTGCTAATTTAACTGCCTTTTTATAATCTTGGTGAAGTTTCGATTAAAACAGATCATTGATTAATGATTTAAGTACAGATTCGTTTATATTGAAGATTGGCGGCATTTGTGTCATGGTGACTCAGGTCATTACGCGAATTTAAATCATTCATTCTAAATAAATTACGAGCTTGATGTCTAATAAATATGATGACTGATATGATGTCTAATAAATTACGAGTTTGACATCATATTGTTGCAAGAAAATAATTTCTTAAGGGGAGCGTCTGGGCCAGAAATCGAAAATTTTGGCTTTTCAGTGTTTTAGACTCATTTTGTAGCTGCTGAGAAGGCGCGTCTAACGCAGCAAGCCGCATGTCTGTGCGTGCTCTAGTTTTTGCGTAAAGCAATTTAAAAAAAATATATAAATAGAACATTTTTATCAATATGTACTAAGATTTCTTCAAATTAAATCTGCATGTATTTATAGATCATTAGTCTCGTTAATTGCAATTTGTTTGCACTCGTTTGAAAGCTACAAACAAGACGCGTTCAACAAAGCTAATATCACATGCAATAATTTTTGCGTAATGCACTTTTGAACTTATATAAAATGTAAATTTTTTATATATTTAAACATCACAAAAATCACATTTATAGCTTATTACTCACGTTAAACTGGAC